CTAAACTTCAATATTTCTAATGCATGTTAAAATACACGGGTATGGTCAACTAATGTGATTTTAGGTTGGCATTTATATTAGTCGACTGGGGCCTTTTCTAATGGCGTGCACATATATATATGTATATATATATATATATTGCGTGCCAAGGCACTTAATTACTAATTGGTCCAGACAGTAACAGCAACCCAACAAGGGAGGTTTATCCCAGAAAAAAGAAAAAGAAAGGATATTTATCCAAGAAAGAAGGGGGGAAAAACGGCTATGAGGGGAGAATTTCTTTTTCGCTAGTGCTAAGGGCACACAAGCGCACACACTGTATGTGCAATTTAGAGATGTATAATGGTTTGTGTGAATCAATTTTATACAAAAAAAATTGATTTTTTTTTAAACAAAAGCAAGGATCAGACCTTAACCACTAACAAATCTAGACGTAGTTACTCCTAGAACATCCACTCCAATGATCTCTTGATATTCTTTGAACGAAATGATAACTATTGTCCTTGTGGTAATTACAATGGTTAAAATTGATTATATTGATGAATATGTAGTTAGATGTTTAAAGTAAAAATTGCTTATAGGTGTGGTTATATAACTAAAGTAAAATTAGTTTTTGTAAAGATAACAAAATTAGAAATTTATAAAATGACAATAAATATCTATGCCAAATCTAAATGCTTAGTACCGATAACCACAAATTCTTATAGCACTTCGTTTGTACGTAGATTAGTTTCTAATGGTTCTTATGATTTTCAATTCTTTAAAATCAGGTAGTTGTACAATTTTTTTTTTTTTTTGGTCAAGATTCTGGTTGCAAATAAGATAGTTTGATTAAGTTTTTGTTGCTTTCGTACACCAATTTGGTTACAGTAACTGTCATAAAAATCACATTTTAATGGGGTAAAGAAAATATTTTTATTTATGCCGCAAACCAAGATGTGATGATGATGGGAAGGAAAGGACAGTATGCTGTGGTGGACGGTGCTGATGATAGCATGCATTAATAAACTAAACAATCAGCACGTGTATAAACACTACAAGCCACACCATGCAGTACATTTCATCGCCGTTTCCCGTCTCAAAATCGGCAAAACCAGCAGAAGTCCATAAGCATGACAGCCGCAAGACCCAGAACTAGACCGCCCGCAGAGAATCCGCCATACCCCTTTCAAGAATTTCCTGTTCCTCCCAATGCCACTCAGCCGACGTGTCTCTGCAAAACGACTTACATGTGGGAACTAGCTGCGATAACGGTCCAACTGCAAAAGCTTGGAGACAAAATGACCAGAGGAGACGTGCAATTGAAGGAGATGATGGAATGGATATCACAGTAAGGAGGTTAGGTGCTTATAAAACCTTCATAGTGAAGCATACAGAAAACAGCGCAACTAGAGTATTCGGAAATTCCATCCGAGCATATATAGCTGGAGGGTTTGGTGCCGATCATCCCGTCTTGGACGTCTAGACCTATAGAATCGGGCAGCTTGATGTTCTTGTCATCAGACGTGAAGCTAATCCTCCTCCTCCTGCTCAAGCTCGGTAGAGAGGTAATTTTTTCGAGAACATATGGTATCTTTAAGAATCATAAATCTAACTAGGATAGTTACATTTTTTAAGAGAAGTGCCGAAAGGTCAGATCTTTTTCTGCATAAATCGATAAAGCTTCTGCCTTTTAAGTTGAATACAAAATCATTTGTTTCCTGCGAGACCGAACGATGATGATGGAGTTCTCTTGTTTGCTATATAATAAGATAATGATGCCTAACTTAATTGGTATTAAAGCTAATGATGCCTGACTTCTATTGATATTTTTGCTGAGGATTTGATGTTAAAAAGAAGTGGTGCTATGGATATTATTCGACCACTATTTGTGGATGCATGCTGTTATTGAGTTTTGGTTCCTATCTTTTCAGTTCCTGTTTCTTTCTTGTTTTTCTGGGCTTCTGTGCATTGGTCTTAATGAATTTTTTCCTTGGAGGAGAGTCGGTCATTATTGAGATAGTGAAATTGATCCAACTTTTGCAAACTACTAGATTTATGATATTTGACATTTTTGGAAATAAATAATTACTTGCAAAATACTAGTCCAAGCATGGTTCACCATGGTGGATCGCGATCACGTCACGATAGTAGTTGTTCCACATTCGTCACGGCATATCAATTGGATATCAAGTGATACACACATTATAGCACATAAAAAATTTCAAAAGTTTTGAAAAAATTATTAAAAATAGAAAATATCATAAAAGGCACAATCTGAAAAAATATCTGAATTGACTTCGAGTGGACTCAGATATTTTAACCGATTCCATGCATCACGGATTCAAATCGGCAAATATTAGTCGAATCAGAGCGAGTCGTCGGAGATATAAAATTATCCATGATTCGGAGATCGGTATCATAACGGTCCCCTCCATTCTGTGACTCAGCTGAGTCGTATCGAACAAGGCCGAGATTGCTAATCATGAGTCCAAGCCAAATTTAGGTAATTAAGTAGGGCTTGTGTGGATTTTCTCCTCAATCTTGAGTGAATGGAGTTGAGCCATAACATCCCACTACATGCCTTCTCAGCTAGGCTGTGATGCTAAAGGGAATGGTCATTACAAGTACGCAATGGTCAGAATTAAGACATACAGTACCAAGACACCTGGTTTCATTAGAGTTCATTGAATCTTGAAATACATTTCTGTAACAGGCTTGAAAATCATTATCCTGTTACTAGACTAGATTATAGAGTATGTGTTGCCTGGTTCATACTGTTTTACTAGAATGCTTTGACAGGCCAGTCTACACTTTACTTTGGAGTGCTCTGTTTCTGGACAAATACAAAAATTAAGCTTTCTTTAGTGCATGTTCTAAGTAGGGCTGCAAACGAATCGAACCGCTCACGAGCGGCTCAAGTCAAGTTCGATTCGAGCTCAATCAATATCAAGCTCGAGCTCGAGTCAAATTCGAGATCGAACTCGAGCTCAAAATATTAAACTCGTTACTTGCGAGCCGGCTCACGAGCTCAAGTGTGTGTGTGTGTGTATATATAAATATATATAATAGTAAAATTACATATATATCCTTGATATTTTATTATTTATTAAGAAAAATATTTTTTTTATTTTTTTTTAAATAATTATTTTTAATTTTTTCGAGCTCGAGTTTTAAATTGTCAACTCGTCGAGTTCGAACTCGAGTTCGAGTTTAATAAAACTAAGTCAAGACTCGACTCGATTAGGCCAAAACTCGACTCGACTCGGCTCATTTACGGCCCTAGTTCTAAGCAACTTAACTTTAGTTTGTCATTTGATGCTAGTCCTTTGATAAGTGAACCAGACAGTTTATACTCTTGAATTGCTATATAGGTTGGTTAATCTGAGCCTCTGTTTTACTTTTACGTCTTTAAGTCCTAAGCTGCAATGGTGGGTAGCGTGTTAGCCTCCTCATTGCTGGGCCGAGACATCTAAAAATAGCACGCTTCTGCCGATAGATTAGAGCAGGCCAATGCCCACTAATACAGATTTTTTGTTACCTGAACTGGATAGTGGATACTCGTGTGGTCATATTGGGGCCCTGGATTGTTCATGTCTAAAAATAACAAAGATAAAAGATTGAGTCAAATGTCTTCGATATTCTTTTTTTTTGTTTTATTTTTATAGCAAAATCAATCCTTGCAATATTCTTTTTTTTTTTTTTGTAAGAAAAGGCAACAATAATAATCATAAGTTTGTTGGACTTGAATTTTATTCCATCAACTGTTATTGGGATAAAACCCAAGCTCAGCAAAGTTAACAAGAGTGTTCTTTTTTTTTTTGCAGTATTCATGTTCTAGTGAGTCGTGTCCCAAATTGAATGCGTTACAGATTCTCAATAACTTGGCTTTCTAGTATATCGCAAATTAATATTTACTTCCTTTTATTTTTCTTTATACGTAATCTGTTATCGAGAAAAATATAAAGAGAGAACATGAGTAACTAGTGACAATTAATAGCAGTTATTCAAATTTTGTGAGTAATCAATTATTTTTCTACAAAATCCGTTAAATTTTTCACAAGGCAAAAAAATGGAGGAAAGTGCAGAAAAATGCAAAAAAAAAAAAAAAAAAAAATCAACATTCCTCTAACAAAATATATATAAAGGAAAAAATGTCTGAGTTTCCTTCAATTGTTCATACTATTCCCTGCAAACAAACATTACCTTGGGTAATACTAAATTTTTCTTGGTGTTTTTTTCTTATATATCACCGTCATTCTATTCTATTGAGTTGTATTGCGATAGGTTCAGATTCCTTGTTGATCGAAGAGAATATGCGGTTGAACAAATGCCGAAGGAAGAGCTTAAACAGAGATCTCAATTGGTAAATGTTCTTCTTCTTCTTTTTTTCAGAAAGATATTTTATTAACATATATTATATTCTACAATCCCTTTGGGTTTAATATCCTCGAGTTAAATTCATCATTAAATGATGAAATGAATATTTTTTTGACCATTAAATTTTAACAATTTCAAACATTTAAAATACAAAAAAAAAAAAAAATCTATTATCACGTAGCAATACAAATTGAAGGAACGGTTCCTACGAGGACCATAGAATTTCCCGATCATATGTAACTGAACTTCTACCCCCTTGTCATCCTCCTACATATTATGAAAATTCAACCATAAGAGTTGGTAAAATGTCAGCCATTTGCTCTCAGATATCCAAACCTGCAACCTTTAGTACAAGATAAACTATCTAATCAAATACCAGTCAAGAAGTTCAATCCTGCGAATTTATGCAGCATCAGAGAGTCGATCAGCTAAATACACTGCTGAGAGCGACCATCAATCCCATTAAAGAGAAAGCTCATAATCTCTGTCAACTTTTCATCTTCCAGGTTCCTATACGTTTGAAGTTTAATACTAGGTGTGAAAATAACTTGTGAATTGATGATGTAAAGTTAGATGGCAGGAAACAAAGCATTAGAAATTCCGGACGGACTAAAATACAAGAAAGAAAAATAAAGTACGAGGATTCAGAATTTGTTACACACAAAATTGATTCTCATGTATCCAAAAACTATCCAGCACGGGCACTTAGTCGGCAACAAATAAAATTGATAAGACACTTCGTTCAAAAGTTTCTTCCATAACATGATACCAGCTTTATGCTACGAAATATGTAGACTACAAAATTGGCCATAGAGATACAGTAACAGGACAACATTACTCCTAAAATACACTCGTGTTCTTATTTCCACCAGTAAGCAGACTGAAGAAAGGATCTTCTTTCTGTTCATCAACTTTGTCCGTCAGTTTGAAACCAGAATCAAGTTTGTTTGATGTTGATGGTGAAGGAGCTCGCACGGACATGAAGGCAACTTTTTCCTTCCCAGCCTTGCGTTTTAAAGGATTCGAATGTGGAGATGAGCTTGAAGTTGTGAGCAGGCCACCTTCTAGAGCCATATTACTGTTTGCAGTTGGTCCTGCACTAGAAGAACCATCTCTTAGATGCTTCTCTTCATTACTTTGTGAAACAGGATCAGCTAATGAACCATTGTCCTTGGTCATGCCATCAGGACCTTCTACAGCAGCTTCAGGATATGCCTTGCCGGTTTCGTAATCTAGAGGAGAACCAGAAGCATACAGTTAAGTTCTTTAAAGGTGATACCTTTAGTAACAAGATTAGCATGAAGTAGAGGTAAAGGTACTCTACCCTATAAAAGCAATATTGTGGAGGGTTGCTTCAAATTTCTTAAAGGTTGGTTACAGAAACGAAGAGAGAGAGCTGCAGTAATTTCCCCTTAGGCCTAATCTTTAATTACCTCCAAGCAAAACCTCAATGCTCTGATACTGCACTGGAGATGCCCCTTGGGAAACATCTTCCCTGCCATCCTTTCCTTGCGTTTTGGATTCACTTTCATTCATTTTTTCAACTAATATATACTTATCTGTCTGCCAAATGCATTCTAAGGAGATAAATTGCTCCTTTATAGGATAATATTCCCTAAATACCTGCACAGTGCCCAAATAAGAAAAGAGAATGTTTCAAATGAATTGGCAAAGGAAATCATCTCTTTAAGCTGAGGTCCATAAAACAGTAACTAATATAAACTAATGCAAAAGAATTCATTAGACTACAAACTCAGTGAAAATAACCTCGAAACCTTCTTCAGTAATTTTAATAGCCTGCTCCTTTCGAGATAGTGAAGAAACGGAGCCGTATACACAAACAACATCAAGGAGTATCTGTTTGAAAGGAACAGTAAACCAACTTAGACAAATTAAATTGTGAACTCTATTAATTATGAAATCAAATCTCTATCACCGATATGATTACATGGATTTTCATCACTAAGCTCATTGAAGAAACAAACAGCACAACAGCACTTACTTGTTGAATCAAGACTCGAAGGCGTGCAAGCAGTGACAAAATGGTCAGTGAAAATCCCATGAAGAATGATTGAGCAAGCAGTTTAGATATATCTCTGTTGGTTGTTATGGAAAAAACAGATGACAACTATCTGCAAGGACCACGCAAGGCTGCACTAAAAAATCCTACACAATAATACCAACTGTGAAGAGGAATTTCCTACATGATTAACTGAACCATGAATGCTAAGACAAAGAAAGCAAAAAAATAATGGATCAAATCTTAATCTGAAACTACAAAGAAGAGTAAATTAGAGCAGTGATAATTGTACTCATATCCCATCTGTGATTACAATAGGATGCTTCTTATATATGACAGGAGGTCTTAAGTCATAGAACTAGTTTAGGACATAAAATACAAAGACAAAATTAGCTTGATTAAAGAAAGCTAACAGGAAACCACATAAATAGCTCAAAATGTTACTCCACATTATTAGTTCACACACTTGAAATGTCACTTTGAAACTGGTACAAGCAGAAGCTCTTCAAGACTTTCAATTTCAAAAGATTAACATGAACCAATTGAAAAGAAAATAAAGGGTGTGAAATGAGTAGGGAATCTAGGATAAATGAACCCATTAATTTCCAGAAGTGAATCTTTAGTCAAAGCTACTGCATACAAAAACAAAAATTCAACCAAAGGATACACAGCTGCCTTCAACAGTGGCTCAACCATCTGCAACAGAGATAGAGCACAATTGAGAAGATAGTTTCATGAATCAGAGCATACTGATCCCTTCTAATTATGTTTTCAACTAGTGGGAAAATTAGTACTTGTTGGATGTAAATAGACCAAAAGGAAACTAATCGCTTAAAAGCCCCATAAGAAATTGAAAATAACCACATCTTCACTCTAGTTCTCCCACTGGTTGTGGTGTAAGGTGGAGGAGCAGATACGCTTCCTTGGGAAAGAACGAAGATTCCAGCTAATTCTATTTCTCTTGTGGACAATGATACCAAAGAAGTAGATGCAAGAGGATGGTAAAGAAAGAAGGCAACAGTGATCTGTTAATGGTTTGCTGCTACAGGAAGATAACACAAGAACAATGGAAGAGACTGAAATCAACCAATTTTAATCCTCTAAGGTCCAAAGATTTTGATGGACAATGGCTTAGACTAATTTGGACATCAAAACAATGGGAAATTTTTTAAAAGCACAGATGTAAGATCATAGTTTATGGCATGCCTCACAACATACGCTCAACTGAGGCACGTAGAAAACTGAAGGTAGAATAACAATTTAAAGAAACAGCTGTGAGCAACAAATCACAAACAAATGTACTACCTTTGATAGTAAACGTGCAACTCCAAGAAGCCTTTCCAAAAAGTTATATTTGCCACCATCACACCTTCTCCGCTTCAAACTGAAACCCAATGTAAAACAGGCATGCAAACAGGATTACAAATTGAACAAATGAAAGGCCAAAAGTTTTGGTATGTGCAATTTGACGGAAAGTAACAGTCTAATCACTACTGATTGTACATTACATTCACAGACTGGTCACTTAATCAATTTTCCTTGGATATTAACTTTCAACTTCCAATTTAACTTTTTGAAGCCTCCACATCAAATTACTAAGAAAACGTTAAGAATTTATGGCTTTGCGATCTACTGATGAAACCTCAATGAAATCTTGCTATTTCCTCCAGAAAAAAAAAATGCATGAATCACTAATCAACGCATATGGTAAACAACAATGTTGGAAAATGTGCCCTTCTTTATGTTTATACCTTTCCAAAAGCTGCAGTTTTTGTTTAGGCCTTTTGCCATGGATTACCAGAAAGCAGGAATTCAAGATTTCCTCCAACTTTGCTGATTGCAGAAGCCTCAAATCCCTTCTAACCTGTCACAAAATCACAATTAATTTTAAACCAACAAACCCAATAAGCAAATGCTTGAAGGCATACAGGTTAGTGCTTTACACTGGGCAAGTAAAAACTGAAACTTTAGCCGAAAAAAAAAATACCAACCTTAAGCAGGTACTGAAAATAAGAGCACCTTCGATGCTGATTCTTATTTTTGTAGACAATTCTATCGAGAATTGCAAATTCTGTCTGCAGCCGACCCAAAAAAGTCTTCAATCTCTCCTCAACTAATTCAAATTCCGAACCCATTACCTTTAATAATGCTAATAACTACACTCGCTGCTCATCCTGTTACCACAAGAGAAGCTTAACTCGAATGTCAAATACACAATTTTCATGCACGAAGCTGTTTCAGGCAGAGATTCTTGAAAAGGCCAAGTGGTGGCGAGAGCCGGAGGGGAGTTATCGGAGGTTGTTCCTGGAAACAGGGTTCATTCAGAACTCGTCAAAGGTCACCAAAAATAAAGCGACGGGAAAACAGGATACCTAAAAAATCTTAATTTGTTCATCTAGTCCTTCATCTATCACAATCAAGTCGGTTTGATCCTCAAAGTTCCTTGAACAAATCAATTTGTCCTTAAATAAAATCCATAAATGTAAATGGATCCCAAAAAAGTTTCTAGGTATGTACCAAATACAACTTATGACCGTTCCAACATTGCAAATATCGACTTTCACAAAGGCTATTTTAACAATAATGTACATAATTTAGTATTTAACGTTCTCAATCATACTTATATATAATATAAATATCAGTTTTTGAATACAAATTAGTCTTATTGTCTCAAATATTTTATTCAACCAACAAATAATTTATTTAATAAGTTTTTGAACAAGTACCTATAGGTAGTAGAATCTTCTATGTTTAAAATCTCTTATATTCTCATTAAGTTGTTACATGGTGGGAAGGCTCTGAGGGTACTTGTGACTAAGGTTGCATTCGAATTTAGTCCAATTCAAGCTCGATCAAATAAAGATTATTAGCAAGTAGTATATGAGTTTGAGCTCGACTCAAATGAGTTTGAGGATCCTTGCAAGCCATTTGAGTAGCTCTAAATCGATTTTGTAGTGATAAATTGCACAACTTCCATACCTATAAGTGTAATTTCACATATATATTATTTTTAATAAAAAAAAAAGCGTAATTACTCCAACTAGCTCGTCGAGCACTCAGGTCTTCTTCTCTAAGACTCGTGCCCGACTTGAACAAGTTAAGAATGGTTTTGACTGAATTCGAGTCGAGCCGTTGACCGAACTGCTAGCTACTAGTGGCATAATATATAAGATTTAGGGTCAAAACCTAAAGACGTGTATCCTAATTGCAATTTGGTCCGACTCTGTTGAAGAACTTTGTAAAATCTCCTAGAAAAATTCAAGGAATGATTTAGACATCTGGCTTTTAACTAAACAGACTCATTCGTGTTTTTTTTCCCCCTTTAAAATGCAAAGACTAAAGAGCCCTTGAATATTTTTCATATTAAAGCTTAAGGTGCTATAATATTAGTATAGGCACTTTAGTCTTTTCACGTGACAAAAAGATAAAATGGAAGGATTATGAAATTAAAAGTCCAACATATAAATCATAATCACGAAGGATACAAGCCGGAAGAAGGGGATAATCGCTCTGCAGAGCACTCCCTGCAAATGTATTAGCATATAGATACAGGGGCTGCTAAGACGTGGACGTATCAAAGAGTGGCAGAAATAATTAGACACGATACAAAACGAACAAAGACATTTAAGAGCTCCAATGCCTCTCACGCAAACAGCTTTTCAGTACCGGTAGTTAATATTTGGATGCCAGTACAACCTAAAATAATACAAAACCAAGACAGAAAGGGATGACCATATTCAATATTACAGTTGAGACGAGATTTTACAAGAGCGAAATCTCAAATGTTAAAAAGTTACAGCTCAACTGAGCTTGAAAGTGCCCTGCGAGTACATAACATAAGCCTCCACTAGCAAGAAACTGCTGACTGAGAGTTTCATTTCAAGGCAGATATCTAGTTTAATAGATACAATTCAGAAAGATCTGTATTCAAGTTCAAAATTCTTCGATCAACTGAGTTCCTAGCAAACTAACTTACCTCCTTTCGTCAGTCTATTTGTGCAAATAAACTAGCCTACTGGGACTAAGAAGCTACTAACCAGTTTCATGTCTTAAATATCCATCTTGAGTACAATATTGTTGACATTGCTCTCCTGTGATTTCTCCAGTGCAACAACCTTAGCCCGATAAGCTGCTGCTGCTGCAGCCACTGTCCTTGCCCTCTGTCCTTGAGGAAGTTCACATGCTTCGCTGAGAGAACCCAATCTCAACTCAGCAGGTGGAATGAAACACTCTCCCGACAGACCAGGAACATTAAAGGCTACTTCCTCGATGGTCCATGCTTCTTCCATCCTGGTTTTGGTATGACTCATTGCTGTATCCCCGAACCTGAAAAGGGTAACCACTGATCGCCCAGAGTGAGCAATCATGATCCCCTCAACAGGCTCACCAGATTGTAAGAAAAACACTACCCTACCCTACCCGGATTCTGATTCCAAGAATCATAAAACCCCCAAAACTCAGCAGCCAAATTAATTCATTAGCATCAATCAAATCAGATTTAACCCTAATCAGGTAAGAACAAACTAAAACAAAAGCAACCCACAAAAATTCATTCAAATCCAACTTCAAGAATCTACACCAGTAATTCTAGACAATTTTTCAAAGGAAAAGGGAGGAAAAAAATGCTAATAAGAGACCATCATACCTCTGGAAATACTGAAGGAGTCTTCACCCTTGTTGGAAATGCTATTGTAGGAACGGGAATGAGATGTCGCTGCCAGAGTGGGGATGAGCCGTTGATATTGGCCGCCGGAGTTGGAGATGCCGCCGGCGAAGAAGGGATTTGTTTGCTGATGAGATGTCGCTGGAGATGGTCTGTTATCACTGCCGAAGAAGAGACTGGTCTTTTTATCGATGGTTCCTCACCGGAGGCTGTGAAAAGAAGACTGCTTTTAAGAAAGGAAAATAACTTCACAGTGATAATGATAAATAAGGAAGTTACTTTCCTCCCGTGTGATGTAACTTATTTTCTCTCAGAATTTATTTTTCTAAATTAATTGACAATCAAACAACAAAAAATATAGAAAATATTTTTCAAAAAATCTTTTCCACCCAAACAAACAAAACCTAAAAGTCCGACATAAAAATCATAATCATGAAGGATACATGCCGGAAGAAGGGGATACAAGCCGGAAGAAGGGGATAATCGCTCCTCAAAGTTCTTTTTGGAAAAGAATGGCTCTTGGTTTCATACACTGACAAGAATTCTTACTATATATCGTGGAAGATACAAATTCAATTCAGTCAACAATCCTATGGTAACGTAAAATATATATATATAATACAACGGTTTGCATGTAATCTTTATTTGAGCTTTTCCTCTGATTGATTGCGTGAGTCTAAGCCGACTATTTATTTTGCTGAACTTACGCCCCATCTTTTTCAAAAAAAAAAAAAAAAAAAAACATATGCCCTATCATTGTTTTTATTTAAAATTTTGTGATCTTTGTTGAGTGACAGGGATGACAAAATTTATTTACCTCTTACATAGCAAAAGTATTTTTACTATATATTGAAACAGTTGCAAATACACTAACAATAACAAATCTTTTTTTTGTTCATTCAACAATTTACAAACCAATTTCTAAATTGAGGAGAGAGGATAGTTATGGCGCTTTTTTTAACCTTTGGAGCAATATTTTAGCTGAGGACACTATCAAGGAAGTTTTTTTTCGAAGATAAATACTTATTAGAATGTTAGGAAAACTAATTCACAGAACTCTTGTATAACTATATGAAAGCTAATCTTTGTATCGTAACCATAAAAGTAATCTTAATAGTCTTAGCTATAAAAGTAATATTAATCTTATTTTATGATTCTATTATGATATTAGAGTTTCAAGAACATTTTATAAGTCTAACGAAAGGAGGGATAAAGAAGTAATTAAGAGAGTTGAAGTACAGGGGACGGTTGGGTTGGGTGGTACAGGGAGAGGGAGTGTAAACGAGAGGTCTCGGATTTCAGTTCTCCCGCTTACACTTAAAAAAAGAGAGAGAGAGAGAGAGTTGAAGTATGAATTATATCAGCCACCGTGTAGAAAGTAGAAACTTAGACAGGGATGGAATGAAACTGTAGGTTCCTGCTTTTCCCGCCATGTGGGATGGCTCATTGGCAGGTGAGGTGCCGGTTAAATTGTAAAGCGAATCATGTTTGCAATCCAATTTAATGGTTAACTCGAAAATTCAATTGAACCTAACCAGCTTGATTAAGAACTAATTGGACTGATAAAATCGAAAGAATCAATTGGAGTTCACTAATATTTTCTTTTTAAAAAGAATATTTCAATAATACAATAATAAATAAAAACTGATTAAATCTTTGAGCCAAAATTGAACCAATTGAACAGATTGAATCAAGAACCAGAAGCTCTTTTGGGTACACTCTCCAATCTGAATTTTAAAATATTGAACCTAGCTGAGCCTTGGCTTTGAGAATTTTTTTTGGTTAGCAAATCAATCAAACCCAAAAGAGTCTTTCTAGTAGTTTCAACTATTAGACGTATTTCGATCATATATGTCTATCTCGAAAAAACATAAAAGCAAAAAGTTACAACTTGGTATTTGTCACAAAATTCATCTCTATTATTTTATTTTATTTTATTTTTCTAAACCATACAAATGATTTTTGTCATCATTTAACTAAAAGAAATAGAAATAAACATATCAAAAAATACGATGGAGGCTTTATCATTTAGAATATAAATTTATTAATCATTGCTTTTCTTAAGTTTATTTTCAATTTAACGTTATTTTCTACAATATGAGCACAATTCTGTCTCCTTTTTTATGATAACTAGGAAGGAATTACAAATGAAATCTACTGGAATACTTTTCTCCATCGATTTATTCTTCTTTTTTTTTTCAAAAACAATTTCTGAGTAAAAACATTTCTGGAACTAAGATACTTGAAATTAAAAATACCACATACTAATGCTTTTAAAAGTTTTTCTAACAATTCAAATTCTCCAAAAAAAAAAATGAAAACATCGTTTATGAAACTAAAACATTTCCTATTCTAGCTAAATTAAAATATTGGGTAGGCCTACTCCTCTCCTCCAGTATAGGTATAGGTATCGAACATAGATTAGGTTTTTTATCCGATAATATACAGGTCCATATATCGTGCAAGAGTGGGTATCCATCTTGCCAAAATTATTGAGGGAGAAGAAAGAAACATGGGAGGGGGAGCCATGTCCCCAGCGGTCTCTGGACAAGGTGGAGCAGCTGCTTATTGTTCATCCACCGTAGCTAAGCCATCAACAGCCGTTACAACCACCAATATTGAGTCACTTAATTCAGTCTCTGCCATTTCCAGTCAAGAACCCTTCAATAATAATCCATCAACAGGGATAAGCTGTATGCACCATGAAAACGTGGGTTCTCCAGTGGATGGTACAAGTGGAACAGAATATGGTGCTGCAGCAGGAAAGTGTTGTTCTGGCTGTGTTTTTGGGCCTGCACCATCAAGATTGGAGGTAGAAAAGGCCATGACTGACTTACAGAGGTATAATACAACACCTGTTTCGCATTAAAAGTACAGAGAATTCCTGTTTATTGTTGATCACATGATTAGAACTTGAAATTAAACAAAAATGAAATTATAATGATTCTTTGATAAACCAGGGTCAATGTATAATAGATACTCTCTATCAGCCCTGGCATCATACATTGCTGCAATCTGGTAGAATTGATTGGACTACCTTTTTCTGCAGCATTTGATGGTTTATGGATGTTAAAACCAAAAAGCAGAAGCAATACTTGTTTGTATCTATCGGTCAAGGAGTTTCACCTCCAGATAAATTGGATCGTATGGTTAGTCTTTAGAAGCATCTAATGACTTCTAATTGATCTCTGGTTCAATTCCGCTTTTGTTTAGCTCAGGTTTCTGCATGGTGAAGAAGCTAAATCTAACTTCCGCTGGCTTCAACCAATAGTTTATCCTAGCGACTCAAGGATGCTGCAATCTCCTGGATATAGAAGAATCCAAGATGCTTTTGGTATGCTTCAAAGAGAGCCATCAGTTCAGGTGAAACAATGCATATGCAGTTGTCGTCTGTGTAATTCTCTAAAATCTCATTCTGCTGATGACTTAGTCATTTCTGCCCTTCTTGTTGCTCTTCTTCTCAGGATGGCATTTATTGTTAAAAGATATCAGCTTATAGTTTGAAAGTTTTTTAACTTCATTTCCACATGAATTTTTCTTTCAGTTCTGTCTCTAAAAGGTGCGTACTTAAAATTGCAGAACCTGGTGGCCTCGATCTCCTGCGACAAAGCTGTTTGGGACGCCATCTTGAACAACAGGGCAGTTCAGGATCTCGGGGGCTCAATCTCTGCAGGTCATATGCAACAAATTTATTTGACAAAAATTTCAAAATATATACACGTTTATTCCCCTGCCTCCTCTGTATGATTAATCATACAGAGTCATTTACCTCAGCAACAATTCATCCTACTAGGAATCTTTTAGATAATTTGAAGAATTCAAGGGTGAAGTTTTATTATTCACATCTGTTCATTGCTTAAAACAAAAGCTTTCTAAACCTTGTTTGAACTTCTTGTATTGCCTGACAAAGACCAGAGACATGTTTAGCTGAAGTTTGCATGCACTTGTGGCTTTACAATGAAGAAACATGAATGCTTCAACTGACTCTTCTTTCCAGCAGTTACCATGTCAAACAATATGAAGATCACAGCTTAGCAAACAAAAAACAGACCATTTGTTTTCTCGTTCTGCTCTTTTGTGGTTTGAAGTTTGTAGCTTAATTTAATGGCATATATGCTGTGGCAGTATTTTTGCAGCATACATATCCATTATATTATGTGCCTTGATTATTTTCGACGATGTTTATCCATTCCATGCATGTGTAGAACAAAGGACGCAGGCATCTAGTGAACAAGCAGACATAGCGAGCCTCATCTTTAAGTGGATTTTGGAATTTACCATATCAAAGATTATGGATGTGGTTGAGAAAATTGGATTGATGATGGCTGAATTATTTATACCCGGTGACAAGGAAAAACCAACCTCAGAACTCACTGATCTTGTCGAAGAAAAGATTAGATCTTCGTTGCTTCTTTCGGTTGTTATTCTTTTGATTGTGGTTGTCACCCGAAACAATGGCGCCTGATGAAGGCCTTCGTCTTCGGACAAATGCATAAACGGCGGCTACACAAGTTGGTCTTTAGTCTTTAGTCATTTTAGCATCTCATCTGATGTCTTTTGTCATTTCTTTGTTGTAGATTATCTGGATATCATTATCGTGTTTGTATGCTTTGTCTCAACATACACATGCAACAAAATAATCTCGGGAACTCAAAGCTTCCATAGCTGCTAGCCGCCCTTCAAGCAGAGCTAAGAAAGACACTGATGTATTTATTTCAGAAAAATGATGGTGGGAAAGAAAAAATGAAAGAAAGAAAGGAAAGGAAAGGCTCGTCCTTTTGAGTGTAAGCAAAGTCTAATATCCATCCTCTGGAATAGAATAGCAGCCTATCAATCATGCTCACTTGTAAACAAAGAACAACTTTTGCTCCGTTCACAATTCAACCACAACGCTGCTGCTTCTGTGGAGATGCCAGGTAAGGAACATTACCAGTACAAGAATTTGCTGGACTAATTACGCTTGCAAATCGACTTCTAGTAGGATCGCTTTTCAGTACATGGTGGTAATTGTTGGATTAGCAAACGAAGCAGCCACATCTTTGTGATTAAACCGTTTGCTGCATTTTTTTTGTTTTATTCTCCATCTTTAGTGGAGTATAAAAGTTGTACTTATTAATAACCTCTCGTTTCCCTAAACTGTCAGATATCCTCTACAGCTCCAACTTTGAGGGCCACAAATGACTTCGTCATAAAACATCGAAAAAGTTCTTCATGCTGGAGAATTTTAGAAAGCCCTTCTAATGAACAACTTGAGATGCCATCAAGACTTTAATCTGATAAAATCAGATCATAGCATATATTCCTACTTCCGTGATTAAAAATGGAACATGGTTTAGAAACAAGGAAGAAGATGCCCGTGCTTTAAGAACATGAATTCACTAAAAAATGTTCGTCAATGATATCACCGCAGAATACATATTCCAAGCCAATTTATGCTACAAGAGCACAGAAACTATACATCTCCCGAATCTTGGTACGCCTTAAGAAGTTAATTGTTCCTATCAAAGACAAGACTGAACTTCAAAAGAGGTACTAAATAAACTAATCACAAGGTCTCGTAGTTTAGAGAACAGCACTAGTGTGCAGTCCACTTATTCCTCCAGGTTATATATCGCACATATCTGAGAACTGTGACGAGCTTCTCTCACTAAGTCAACCAAAGCTTAGGGCCCATCATTTGCCGATCCACTGCAGGACCTTGGCTAGCAATCTTCTGAACGCGCGAAGAGAATTCTTCAGCCTAAGGAAGAGCAAAGAGCCAGCATATTAGCAAGAAATGGTCAGTCTATCTGTCCATCCTTGGCAAGGAGTATAATGTTATACAATAACCCTACTCAACTTCAGGTGGGAAGAAGAAGTTTCTGCAAAACAGGTATGTACAATGATCTCCACAAACACAATAACCATCAATACGTGAATTAACAGGAGTGACTTGCAGTCATGGAAAACTGGAGAACCAGATACCACAAAGGAATATTGCTCCAGATATTGAAAAGATAATATTAATGGGTATTTAGTGAGCTCATCCAACGAAAGACAAAGGAAAGCTGTTAGAGAGATGCAGATGGAGAACAATGAGTTAGGACAAAACATTTTTAGTTGCCATTTCATTTGCAGCAGGTAAAAGCAATCTCATCAGGGGAAAAGAGGAAGAAGAAAAGAAGGGACCTAGAAAAAAAAATTGAGATGCAACTTATAGTCTATTTTAGTCTCAACGAATTTGTTATGACTGGAGCATTACAGAATCTCAGTACCAGCAAGAGAGACGTTAGTTAGATTAGTGTAATTGTTAGGTGGGGGCCTCTAGTATTAGCAGTTAGCTAATTCAGTTATGGCAGTTAGCTAGTAGATGATCAGCTATTTTGAGCAGATATCTTGTATACGTAATAGCTCTCTATAACGAAATAATTACCTGATAATATTCAATTTGTACAGTCATTCTTCTCTCAATAAAATTCCCCCTCTTTCCCTCTCTCTACTCTCTCTCCTGTTTCTGTTCTCTTTTTTCTCCCTCCAATCCACTCAGATCATAACAGAAATACAATGGTTCAAGAGGAAGAAGATCTACAGGAAATTTAAAGATGGCTAAGCAATCTTCAGGTACTTTCATGAAGAACATTTCAACTAACTTAATCGGAAAGATCAAACCACTTAAATTTCATTATAATTTACTTCATTCATGCCACTGTTACAGAATGAGTTTGAAAGTCATAAGTGCACAATACTAACCCTACATCCATGAAAAATAGCGAACCAAGTTGCAAGGAATGTACTGACCTTTTCATCAATCCACATCAAGGAACTAAGTTGATTGTTTAAAATACGAACGACGACATCCAATGGAGACATTCCATCAGTCACCTCCAGTTCCCCACCCTAAATTAAGCACAGAAGATAAGTTCATGAAGTTTGCAATGCTTAACTACAATTTGGGAAACCAAAGGCGGTCAATCACCTGGCTTCTATTGAGAGTAGTAATAATTCCTTTGATCTGTTCCGTCATCTGTTCCAATTCCCTCTCTATAAACTCTGCTTGCTCGTACCTGATAATACCAAGAAAAATACCTATCAAAGACCAAGTGATGAGAACTTGTATTATAGTTTAGCTCCTTCATTTGTATGGTTATCTGATAGGCTCATGGAATATAAAAACATCACTTTGTTAATCTGTTTAGGAGATAACTTGAGACGAGCTCAAACTGTTTGATCAAAGCTCTCATGCACCAGCCAGCAGAAAGCTGTTTCGATATTCTGCTGTGAACTTTCTACAGGATATACTAGTGTCAAACCAGGAAAGATAAGATAGGACTTCAGTTCATCTCAATCTTTGAAAAATTGCTTTCCTAATACAAGGAGGGCAGATGTGATGCCGTAATTCTAGGTTAACTTGGAAAGAAAAGCAAAGCTTTGGAAGCCCAGGGTTTAGATTCTAGGAGGCCATGAGAAGCAAAAATAACTTCCTGCATTTTTACTAATTATAAAACCACCGGTGCAATTTCTCAAATTGCACTGACCTCTCCTGTAATTGATTTTATTGTCTAAAATGTGTTTTGACAAAAAGAGTACTCAGAATAACCTGCCTTCTTCATAGGTTTGTAACGGTACTTATGAAATAAATCAGGATTATTCAATTGCACCATCAAATCTTAACTTGTTTAGTGACCGTGGGAGAGGTTTAACCATGATACAATGTAATTTTGAGAACCCCAGAGGTCTATCTATCAACAACAAACCTAATGGGAGGTTTATATATATTGTGCTTGTTATCAACTGATTCTCATTTTTAAAATCAGAATCAAAATCCAAAAGCACCTAATTCTATGCTTCTGAATTTTTTTTTTTTTTTGCCTTGAAAAAGGCCAAAAGCAGGATTTGAAAAGCAGTTAAGAACAGAAAAAAAGTAGACTTCTTAAAATCAAAAGCTAAAATCAGGTTACAGAATCATTTGAGAACAAGCCCTTTACCTAAAATCTGTTTGCTCCAAAGGGAACCATGCTTGGTGATCAACAGAATTTTCACTTAGTATCCTACCAATACTCAGTTAATCCGACCATCTATAGTAACAAATACATGTCAGTGATAGTTCTAGTCATTTGGCCATTGTCCACGAGTTATCACTAGGATAGATTAAACCAAACATTTGCTTTTCCGCACTAATGAACAGATGAGGGCAACTTTGGTCCTGCAATTAACTCAGTACAAAAACCACATTAAGATGCAAAGTAGAAATCGCCGCCAAATTCATTCAAAAAATTCATGCAACCCCTCCAACGTACACTAACATGACATTTCAATGGTAGGTGACATAAGGTAGTACGCAACCATATTTGTAAATGAAAAAAAAATTATATAGCATAAAAACAAAGATCAACCGTTACTTACATTGCATCTCTTGTAGATGCAGCTTCATCATCAAGAAGCAATGCACGCTCATCTTTGTATATCCGCTCAGCTTCTTCTTCCATACTTAGCAACGATTTGTCAACCTTAAAATGACATAATTAAGCGAATAATATAACAGACACAAAAAATACTTGTATAGCTAATCATGAAATTATATTTTTTAGGAGATCACAATTTTCGTCTTTGAAGAAGAAAGCAGGTTCGTGACTAACAACATTAAGCACTATTGTCATTGATATTCGATTACATTCATTGCAACAGACCTCCTCCTTTTTCTAAATTATATAAAATCAATAATAATAACCACAAAGTTGCGCAGAATGTGTAACTCCTTAAGAATTACATCCAACAACCAGAAAGCAAGTTTATGTGGTCTGTGTTATAAGCCACAAACCTCTTATAGAAGGCAGCCAAATCAAAAACTAACCATTGGATGTTTAAAGTCACCAAAAAGGAAAAGAGTTTAAAGGGAAATTATGAGGTGGGTTTCCTATAATTTCAGTGTGTTTAGGAAGATATGTACATTGTGTGCATTGAGAGCTTGTCAGAAAGTTGTTTGTAAAAGCTATTACACAGCCCATAGTTATTAACTCACATCATACCAACAAGTAACCAGACTGGAAGTGTCATAAAAATGCATGAACCTTAAAGAAGCACTACCTATCCAAGCATCAAGCACATACACCATGATGTGAGACTTAGCTAGGACAATGGAAGAGATTGGATACCTCTTCTTGATGAGTCTCAATCAGCTCCAAGTGTCGCTCTAAGTTAGCTTGTGTCTCAACGACTTTTGCAACTTCAGTCTGAGAAAAGGTTCAAGCACTTGAATTTAATGAGGCCAATGAGAAAATGCCAATTTAAAATAAACTCATATTTCATGATTATACAAGCCAGATAGAAAGATGATGCATCATCCTGACACGTGCAACAGAAAACAAATACAAACTATGAATAAAATGATCCTAAAGATAGATCTTGGGATACGCAATACCCAAAGTGCTATATGACATAGAAAAAACCAGACGTATCATGACAGAAACAAATAAAAAGTAAATGTACACGAAAAATGTCACAGGCTGATATTCCATAACAGTATATTGCAGTCATATACCAGAGCAGAGTTATTCATCAACCTGGACAGAAAAAAACCATTATGTTCCCTAAGAGATTAATACCTCAAGCCTAACGAGGATGTCACGATTCTGCAAGATCCTTTTATCCCACTCAGCAATTGCACTAGCCTGCTTCTGAAACTTGCGCGTACGTTCCTGTAACTCTGTATTCCACTCCTTGATGATCTACAGAAAATGATATAAAATTATTTGTCAAACCGGAACATTCCCGCAAATGGACAGGCGAAAAAGGAAATAAGATGTAGCAAA